TTTCCCCACTCGACACCCCACTCACTGAGGGTGGCAGCTATGTCTTTTCATGTTTAGTGTTTCTGTTCTCTGCCTCTGTCTTGGTGTTGGCATAGTAAGTGCTCAGCTGTTACTTGTTGGGTGAAGGAGTCAAGAAGAGGCCACACTTAGTCACTCACAACCCAGTGCGCCCTGGTCCGCCCCCACCTAACTCCCCGCTGTCCTGAGGGAAGTTTTGAAGGGAGGGGCCTGGGGTAGGGGGCAGAGAAGTGGATGGAGGCTGTGGGCCTGAGGTCCACAGACCTTGACCTTGGGCACGCTCGTAAACAAAGCTCTTGGAACCTCACGTCTCTTGAAGGAGGTTGCCCATCGTGCGGTCTGAGCAGGACATCTGTGCTGTATTCTAGGGAGGGGAGCTGGTGCCATTGGTTAGAGGAGCAAACGCCCCGCTGCTGCAGAAAACCATCCGAGAGCAGCTGCAGGCTGAAAAGAGGGTGCTGGCCGAAGGCAGAGAGCGGAGAGTGGTAAGCGGCCAGCCCACAAGTGTCTCCCAGGCCAGGCCAGCAGGTGCCTCCCCTGCCCCGCCAATGACTTCACTGTCCTTGAAAAGCTGCATTAAATGCCCACGCTGGCTGGGGGCCTCTGAGGGCTCAGGGGAGGGTGCACGTCCCACTAGGAAATCTTCTTTGAAGTCGTGCCCTTCATCCAGAACACTTTAACGTCTTTTATCCATTTCCCTTTCATCCCCACTGCATCTCTTAACAGGGTTTCTGGAACCCTGGCAACGAATTCAGAAATGGACATGAGGTTCCGAATCCAGTAGTGGGTACAAGGAGTCAGCCTCAGGGGGAAACCTCTCCCGGTGACCTGCCCTCCCTTCTCATTCCTGAGTTTGACTTGTGATCCCAGAGGGTTCATTTCTTTAACTAGAAAGGGGTCATTACCTTAAGAAACAAGATCAGCACTGCTTGTGATTTTGGTAAATTACTTCCAGGACAACGTGGACTGCGAGTTTTTCACAAAAAATTGGCAGCCTTTGAAAACCAACACACCTTGGGTAGAAAGAAATATCTCCTGGTGCCCTGAGCAGCTGCCAAAGGAGCCTTAACATTATTCCGTGTTCACTGTTCACGTTTTCACATTCAGTTCCAAAGAGCAAAGCCCTGTTTTCATAGAATGGATTGGAATCAAACCCTATTTGTTCCCCAGAAAACTGGCAATTTTTCCCCAAGAAAGAAAATCACAGATGCTTGTACCTACTCCACAGATAAATGATCTCTCTCTCTCTGTACTACCTGCACTGTGTAGCCAGTTGCTTACTATTTACTTGCATTTCAATTCTTACTCTGGCTTCTTGACAACTCTCTATTTCATCTTTCTTTTTCCTTAGTTTCTACTTGATGTTCGTGGAAACAGGCAGACTCTAAACCTTAAGATCCTGCATGGATTTCCTGGTCCTCAATCGCTCTCCCTCCCCGGCTCCCTACCACCCAACTACTCAAAAGGTTCCTGAAAAGTTTCCAAGGCTGATAATATATATATATATTTTTTGCGGTACGCGGGCCTCTCACTGCTGTGGCCTCTCCCGTTGCGGAGCACAGGCTCCGGACGCGCAGGCTCAGCGGCCGTGGCTCGCGGGCCCAGCCGCTCCGCGGCATGTGGGATCTTCCCGGACCGGGGCACGAACCCGCGTCTCCTGCATCGGCAGGAGGATTCTCAACCACTGCACCACCAGGGAAGCCCAGAGGCTGATAATCTTGACCCTTTTCTTCTGCTCTGCGTTTAGGACCTTTTCCCATTCGGCTTCTGCTGGTTTTTGAAGGTCTTTGTGGAGTTTTAATTAGCTAACTACTTACTGTCCATGACCAATTTGTACTAGATTAAAGATGAGGCTCTTTCTGATGAAGATGAATGCTTTTCCCACGAAAAGGAAGATGGTGACGATGAGGATGCGGGTGAGTACAGAACCAACAAGCATGGCAAGAAGGCAGAGCAGACTCGGATTTGATGTGTTTTTTTTAAAATTGATTTATTTAATTTATTTATTTTTGGCTGTGTTGGGTCTTTGTTGCTGGGCGCGGGCTTTCTCTAGTTGCGGCGAGCGGGGGCTACTCTCTGTTGTGGTGTGCGGGCTTCTCATTGCGGTGGCTTCTCTTGTTGTGGAGCACGGGCTCTAGGCACGCGGGCTTCAGTAGTTGTGGCACGTGGGCTCAGTAGTTGTGGCTCGCAGGCTCTAGAGCTCAGGCTCAGTAGTTGTGGCGCACGGGCTTAGTTGCTCCGCGGCATGTGGGATCTTCCCGGACCAGGGCTCGAACCCGTGTCCCCTTCATTGGCAGGCGGATTCTTAACCACTGTGCCACCAAGGAAGCCCTGATGTGTGTTTTTTATTTTTAATTTTTTTTGGCCTCACTGCGCGTCATGTGGGACCTCAGTTCCCCTGCCACGGATCGAACCCACGCCCCCTCTGCTGGAAGCGCGGAGTCTCAACCACTGGACCACCAGGGAAGTCCCTGATGTGTCTTTAAAAAATATATGAGTAATCAGTTTATTGAGCGATCTGAACTCTGGGAAGATAACCCATAAAATATTTTGTCTCCAGTCACCTGACTTCAAACATACTGTGTTGTGTCCCTCCTGCCCTTTAATGGCATCTTGGGCACATTTCACAGCTTTCTGATCATGTTCAGTTATAACAACTGTGAGTTTCATGGCAATTTCTGGGCATCAGGAAAGGCTCCCTTATTAAGATGGAGGGAGTGACGCTAATAAGGTAAAGTAATGATGCTGGTGTTCCCTTAGTCCTTATTTGAGCTAAAGAGTTTGAGCTTCTTTCACCTTTTTTCTGAAGTGTCAGAAAGCCAGCTGTACGGAACCCCTTCCCTCCCTACAGCCCTGCACCCTCTTCCACTTATGCCCCAAGTACTAACTCATGGATTTTACACTCCTGAGCATTGCTGTTCTTCCTGAACCTTTAATATGAGAAGAACACCTTGACCTGACAGTGGGAAGAGAAGCCAGAGGTTAGAGAGGCTGTTGTTGGCAAGGTGCCTCCTGACGGTCCCTGAGACACCGGGGAAAACCAGGATGCAGCTCAAGAACTGAGCTGGAGAGAGAAGCAAGTTCTGATTACTCCTTGAAATAGAAAAGCTGCTTATTCACGTGTGGATGACAGGACTTTCTGAGTTGGATCCTAACAAGGGAAGAGGCACAGTTTAGGAGAGCAAGAAACTTCAAGTGTGAAAAGGAAGTCAGCGACTTGGCTTCTGCAGGAAACGTTTGTTGTCTCCTTTGGGGATTACCTCTTTATTCCCTTCTCCATTATTTTCTCCCAAATCAGGTCTCTCTCCACCTAGAAAACTACCCAAAGCCTACCCTTGCCCTTAGCCTTCCTATCCCCCGAGCCTAGCTTCTTGAACGTGGTCCACACTCCTTGGGCCACCCTCTCTTCCGCCCCTGCCCCCTTGCCGCTCCCCAAGGCTCCAGTGACCTTCTTGGTGCCAAATCCAGCGGGCAGTTTCCAGTCATAGTCTATGGAATCCTTCTGTGGGCTTGGCCGATGTCCCCAACGTCTTCCTACTCAAAGCCCTCTTCTCGTCTGGTGTCTGAGATGTCGAGACCTTTCTCGTTTTCTTTCTTGTTTTCTCTGGCCTCTCCGCCACCTCCCCTTCCTTGGCTTCTTTTCTTTTGCTCCCTTTTCAGGCTGGAGTTCTCAGGGCCCCAGCCCTGGTCTCTTCTCTTCTCACCCTATACCTCTAGGCGGTCTCATGAATCGGTCAATTTATACAGGGATTTATTGTAAGAGTCCCTTAAAGTGCAAGTGTTCATAGGATGTTAGAAATTATGCTCATGGAATAATGAATAGATTGGCTTGCTTAAAATGATCCACACCTTTGCAGTCCACATTTTTTAGATTTTTCAAAGTAGGAGGCCCTCCTCAGGTGCAGATACTGTCATGTTACAACACAACTGATATAGAAGTTGAAAAGAGAAAATAGGCCGTGGGGGGATATAGAGTCTGTGGAGAGTGTAGGTAGCTCACCAAGGCCAAGTCCATACAAACGGGAGTCTGACAGGGATGGGTCTGTGCCCAGACACAGGGCTCCCCACAGTGTCTGCAGGCCTGAGCGGTGGACAGTGGCCACGCGGCACCTTCCTCATCCCCACAGCAGCTTGGACCTACGGACACGGCCCACCCGTAGACTGGCCGGTGATCTATGACTGGTGCCTGGGCTCCAAGCAATGAGCTGGCCAGTTCTCAGGAGAGTGTGAACAGAGACAGAGGAGACTGAAGGCGCAGTTTGGTAGAATGTGCTGGCCCTGACCAGCCATGCCAACTCGGGGCCTGGGGCAGCCACTACTGACCACGTGCCGGGAAAGGCAAAAAGGCACACCGAGAGGCGAACACGGGCGGCAGCGGTTAGAAGTCAAGAATCACGACAGGGTGACGGGGAGGGACAAGAGCCGACTCTTTTGGTTGTTTCCGGTCTCTGCTCCTGAGCTGTCTTTGACCTCCTCCCCCATCTCCTATCCCCTCCTCCCTCCCCACGCCCTCCCTCCCAGGTTCATGTCCCTTGCATGTCTCTGTCCCTTGCCGCCAGGCTGAGGTTGGGGTCTGGAGCCAGACCCCTGCATCCACTAGAGTCTAGGTTTGCACAAGTACAGCCAAGAGGCCAGGGGAGGGAAGCCGGGGGCTGTGTGCGGGGCTGCACGTCCCTGCGGAGGGGTTCCCGAGAGCCCAGCGTCTGACAGCACCATCGCCAGCTTGTTGCAGTGTCATCAGAGAAGGCCTGCACCTTGGCAGTCATTAAACCAGATGCGGTGGTCCATGGGAAGACGGATGAGAATATCACGAAGGTGAGAGAGACAACGCTTACCTTACAGACTATCCTCATGTCTCCTCTGGTGGAAAAACAGGCGTGCAGCATTGTGTAGCAGTGTCCTCGGTGGGAAAGAAGGCTTCTAAGGAGTTTTAATTAAAATTCCATTTAAGTAACTTACAATTTGTAAATCGAATTGGAGGACGAGGGTCTCCACTGCTTTTAATGTTGCCTTTTCCGTCATCTTCTACTCTCTCAACACAGTGAAATGTGAATTTGGGCTTGCTTTACCCTTTTAGAATATATATATATATATATATCTCCTACAGATCCAGGAAGCTGGGTTTGACATTTTAACAAATAAAGAGAGAACCATGACAGAAGTAGAAATGCAACTTTTCTACCAACACAGAGCTGGAGAGGTCAGCTTCTCTGCTTCCACTTATCCAAAACACTCTCATTTCTTTCTCTTTCTCCAACACTGTGTTTATAGATTGCTATTAGTTTGGGAGAAAATAGAGTATTATGAACAGCAAGAAAGCCATGAATTTCCTCTCCGAATCATAATTACGGGCTGCGTCGTGGAGACATTCTTTGGTAGCAAGGATGAGAGTCTGACTCCGACTTAAGGGATGAAGTAAGGAATTTATCGGAGGGATCCTCCACGACTCCCGGAACTGAAGAGAGCTGAGGGAGTCGCATAAGAAGGTACAAGGAGAAGAACCAAGGCAGGGGTAGGGCCCTCGGGAGTGAAACCTCGCGGACAGTCACTGCGGGTTCTGCTGTCGGGGGACTCAGACCCAACCACTTTCCATCTGCTTCTGCTTGTTACCCACTTGGGAGGGAGGGTATCGGTGAGCGAGCCTGGGCTCCACCTCTCAGGTGAGGGGGTGTGTATGTGGAGGGGTGGACAGGCATTGTGGTTGCCAGCTGGCCTAGGACCAAGTGAAATGGGGAAGGGTTTCTCCCCAGAGGAAGCCCGAGTACTGCTACTTGAAGAAGGGGGAAGGGTTGCACAGTCTCAACCGCATCCCCTGGTTATCCAGCACCCACATGATTTCCATATTTGTGGTCTTCTAAATGCTCCCACCTAAATTACTATCTCATGTTCAACCCCAAGGGAGTCAGCTCGAAGCCTCGTCTTCCTGCCTTTAACTTATATCTGGGTGTGGTTAGGCCCCCCGCCTCCCCCGGGGCCCTCCGCGGGCATGCAGGCCGGTGGCAAGGCCGTTCACTGACGCTCTCCCATCCTGTGGGTGGGATGGGCCCGCCGGCCCTCTGAAGGCCCTGGGGCCCCTGCCCCGGCTCACCGTCTTCCCTCCCTGTGCCAGGAGGCATTTGAGAAGCTGGTACATCGCACGTGCAGTGGACCGAGCCACCTCCTCAACCTCACCAGGACTGAGGGCACCGAGGATGTGGTCACCGCCTGGCAAACCCTCATGGGACCCTGTGACCCCGATGTGGCAAGGAGGGAGCAGCCTGACAGGTGATGTCACCAGCTGTGGTCCTCGCATCCATCTCAGAACCTGCATCCAAGGAAGCTGAGAGCCCTGCTCGAGGTTCAGCCCAGAACCATGGGTAACACAGACGGCTCTCCGATGGTCATGAAGCTCCCTCTTTGTCATACATTAGGGGAGTCCCTGACCTCCCTGTTATGTATTTGAGGAGACCCTGACATCCTCTCCCTCTGATCCAGCCCCCAACTCTTCACTGGGTGCCTCCTTGCTGCCTC